GTACAATTTAACAAAAAAAAAAAAGATATTGGCGGTTATCTTGTGAGTAGATGGTTTCAAATTAGAACGGTTTGTTTTTAAACAAATCCGTTTATGGAAGTTTAGTTATGTAAATTACTTATATAACCTTTTATCATAATTATAATATTTTATAGTTAAATTATATTAAGAATGATGTGTTAATTTATTATTGGTTCTTTGCATTTTCACAAATTACATGTATTTTTGCATGAGCCTTCCCTATATATATATATATATATATATATATATATATATATATATATATATATATATATATATATATATATATATATATATATATATATATATATAAACTACAACTTAAATTTAAAAAAAAAATGTTTTCACAATAAACGAGTTAAACGATATGATTTAGATACGAAAATAGAGCCGTAGCCGCCATTCTTACAGTATTCCAAAGTCAATAACTTGTTCTGTTCAAAAACAAACATCCTATCCTATCCAATATGGCAATATCCACAATATATGCAAAGTCAAACATCTAAATCTAAAAAGTCAAACCTATGTTCCACCCCCTTTCCATATATATATATACCCCTCCGAAAACACTCATCAAATTCACATCCACAAAATATCAAACATTAACTTACCATCGATATACACCATCAAAAATTTAGCAAAAAAAATGGAAGGATTGATACCATTTCTGATGCATGCAGTGAAGAAACACAGCCTTCACAACAGCTACCGCTCCCTCTCCACCGGCTCCACCTGCCGCCGCCACCTCCTGGATGGCGCTGTGGTGGAAGGCTCCTCCCACCGCCGGACTAGGTCAGAGTTTCAGCCACCCACGGCTGAGTACTTGCAGCAGATATCATCAGGTTCTGATTATGTGTCCCGATCAATGAGTTTCAAGAAAGATATTTCCACGTCCTATTCAACTCCAAACACATTTCATGCTTCCAAGGTCAAGAACAATTAAGGAGATCGATGCTACCATTTTGATGAAAATACAATTCCAGGAAAAGGATTCTTTAATTGTTTGTAATCAGTAATTCTGTATAATTAATATGGTTTGATTCTAGTATTAAATACAAAAGATGTACATCGATCATAAAATAAACGGTTTTTGGTCAAGGTGTAATTCGTTTGTTTACTAATATAGAAAGTCAACGACATTAGGTGGTAACTTTTTTACAAACTCACCCCATTTTATTTGTCTCAAAACATTACATTTTATCCAAAACAACAGCATTAGTGACTTCAAATCTTTAATCAAAAACCACTTGAGATATTATTCTTAAATGCATACTCACGTGAAAAACAATAACAAAACAGAGAATGACATCCTAAACCAACCTTGACCCATTCTAGGATCATCACTTGACATTTGAGAAAAACTATAATGTCCCATGAAATCATATGAACAAAAACAAAAGAAACAAAAAAAAAAAAAACATGGCTATGAAGCAAGAAGAGCTTCAACTTTTGCAATCTGATCCTCTTCATTCTTTGAATTCGGACTCTTATTCGCTTCATCATAAAGATCATGCTTCCACTTCTCACCACCACCACCACCACCACCACCCTGCCCTTGCCTTCCACCACCTAACCTATCCCCCCTTCCCCTGTACCCACCACCACCACCGTATCTATCTCTTGATTGAAACTTCATCCTCTGTGGGTCCCTCTCCCCTGACAACCGCCTGTCAGGCCGCTCAACCACCGGCTTTCCTCCATCTTCCTTCCTTTCACTTCCTTCTAATGGCTTTGAAACTTGTGTTGCTGGTTTATCATGAGTTACAGCATCCAGGGGTATTTTTGTCTCACGAAAAGATGGTCTTTTCTTCTTTATATCTGAACCATTGTTTGAGCTTCTGTTACTCTCACGATCCTTTGAATCTTTCCACAACCCACGCTCTAAACACAGAGATTTAGAGAAATATATGTATACATGATTTGGAATTTTGGGTGACTCATGAAATCAAGAAAAGGTAAATAATTACGAAAAAACCAACCTGTTGTATGGGTATCCCTGTGTCTGAAGCTACGACCACGCTCATCATGCTGTTATAAGACACGCCCATTAGTGAAACCTAGTTTTTCACAGGGATAATACAGTAAAAAGACACAACAATGAACAATGTGAGATTGAAGGATTCAAAAACCTGAAAGTGAGATCGGGATCGAGATGGTTCGATATTTTCAGAAGAATTCTTTGTTCCTTCATGGTATCCGTTACTTTTCTTGTCAGATTCTTTGATCAAGGATACGTTTTGTAGCTTTGGATCAGGTACTACAGTGTGTTTTTTATCTCGATTAATATGTTCTGAAGAATCCAGATTATGGTTAATGGCTGGTTTCTCTGTTGCTGTTCTTCCATCCCTCCTAACTCGTTTAGGGCTGCATCAAACAGCAGCAAAATCACCAATTTACAAAAGGAAAACAAGATGGATTGTTGATGTTGACCTCAAGCATTTAACTGTACATGAAGTGATCCAAGAAAAACATTGTTGACTTAAATTTTGCAATTAGAGGTTCATGATCAATGTATCCAAATATCACCTAACCCCAGACCAACAAATTAATCATCGGAATAACATTGCGATTCGCCACAAAATTAAAATTGATTCGTCTTCTTCAGAACCCAAAACCATTAGGAACACGTCTCATAGCCTAAGAGGCAATAATTGGTTACAATAATCAAATCAACACAGAATCGGATTCATGAAAGGTTAGATTTGATTCGCATCTAATCATTCGATGCTGTGGCATACAGTAAAGAGATCAATCGAAGCATCTAGTTCTTGTACTTATAGACACTGATAACGAAACTACAAGAGATACAACTACTATGATATAAGTACCTAGGTTCTCGATCGAACCGAGAACGATGGTGTCTGGAATCGGAATCACGACCCTCGCGATGAGACATTGCTATTGGTAGGGCTTGTAACTTGTTGGCTTCAGGTCATCCACTAGGGTTCGGATATACGATCTTCTCAATTTAGCAATAATAAATCCTCCATAGTCCAGTGAAAGCTAAACAGTAATATAACACTATTGATTTATTTTCTAATTTAGTAATTTATTTTTCAAGATGACACGGTATTTTAATTTCAGTCTCATTATAAGTTTATAACAGCATATTTTATTAAATTTATTCATTATAATATGTGTTTTCAACATTGCTTGTTTTTATAATAAATCATTATACACGTCACACACACGCAATATATATATATATATATATATATAATCATGTTATTATTATTATTATTATTATTATTATTATTATTATTATTATTATTATTATTATTGGGAAAATGACTTATTAAGGTAACTAGCTATTTCGATTGTCCATATATATATACTAGGTGTGAGACTCATGTATTATATGGGTTTAATTAAAAAAATTAAATATAAAATTTTAACAATTTGAAAAGTTTGAATTATAAGAAAAATATGAAAAATTTGAATTATTAAAATTAATGAGATTTAATGTATTGAATACATTACATATATAACTTTTTCTAATAAATACTTTACATATATATATTACATTACACATTAAATGTGGAATTTTAATTTAATAAATGAAAAATACAATAAAATGACAAGTGGAAAATAGAAAATTTAAAAATTCTAGAAAATATCATGTGTCCAAATGAATGAGAAGAGAACATGTGGCAAAAAAACCTTCATTTATTATAGGATATATATATATATATATATATATATATATATATATATATATATATATATATATATATATATATATATATATATATATATGTAATGTTCTTTTTTTTCCACATTAATGAAACCAATTTGTTTGTATGCTCACATTTAGGTAATATGATCGTCTATCACCTGTTTTTGCTTATGTGGCATCCACCTGGCATATGATTTGAGTAGGTTGCACCTACGTGGCATGGTGCATATATTGTCGTCATTCGATTACACTATAAGAGCTGTGTCATACGATTACACCCCTAATTTTAAACCCTAGATCAATCGACGATGGCTTCTTCTTCCTCTTCTTATTCTTCAAAACGACAAGATGAATTTCAAGCTGATCATCCATGTGATTGCGGCTTACCATCTCGCATGAATATTTCAAGAACTCCTGACAACCCTGGAAGAAAATTTAGAGTTTGTCAAAACTCGATGGTAAATCAATTTTGTTGAATATGTTGCAACTTTCTTCTTCTTCATCCTTCAATTTAACATTTTTTTATTTTTGTTCAAGAATGGAAAAAGTCCAAGCTGTGAACAATGGCAATGGTTGGATAAGGATGAAGGGAGGACAGATGGAAGAAGTTCTTACAGGAGGAAACCAAAAGAAAGTTGCAATCTAACCTTGAAATTTTGCACTTTGGAGAATGAAATCAGCATATGTAGGATGAAGATCGAACAAGAAAACAACACCAATTTGGGTAATAGACAAGAATTGGACAAAGTGAAGTGGAAGTTGTTTACTCACAAACTGGCACTGATTTTGTTATTTGTATTGCATGTGAAAATGTTGATTTGATGTATTAGGGTTGAATGATGTAGTTCATGATGTATAATGGTTGAATGATGTAGTTCATGAATGAAACTTGATTGGTATTAGGATGATGTGGTCTACATGTTCTTGTGTATGCTTATGTATGTAATTAAAGCAACAAACTTGTGTTATATGTTTTTGCTTCTGATGTAATGAATGGAACTTTTGTATTAGAATGAAATATAATTAAACACCGGAATGGTATATAATTAAACACTGGAATGGTATATAATGAAACATGGGAATGTAATATAAGCAAACATTGGAATGCAATATAAGCAAACATTAGATTCCCGAGAAACATTGTTTACAAAAGATGTGCCATAAGTTAGTTTTAACACAGTTACACATGCAATACTGCCAAAAGGTACACACAAGATTCCAAAACTTACACATATGGCTAGACAAAAGTCCAAAAGCTACACATATAACTAGATAAAAGATTCCCAGTCAATGATGCCAATTTCTATTCTAATTCCATTGGATTTTCACCACTACTCCCCTGTTTCCCTTCCCACTTCTTTCTTATCTGAATTTTCATGATTCTTTCTGAAGGTTTCCTTCTTCTCTTTCTCTGTAGAACTTGAAATGCTGGTACTTTTTGCATATGCTCCTCTTCCACTGGATCTTGAACTACATATTGTTCTTGGTCATCCTGTCCAAATAGATCTTGAAGTGCAGCAAGTTATTCACCTTCTTGACCTTCACCCTGTCCTTGAACTTCAACTGTAGTCTGGTCTTCACCTTCTTGAACTTCAACTTCAACCAATGCTTCAACCCGTTCTTCAACCCCTCCAACTCCACCTTGACCATGTCCTTGAACTTCAGCTTCAACCTCAGGTTGGTCTGCATCTTCATATATATGATTATCCTCTTCAAAATCAACTTCATAAGACTCCACCTCACTATCAGGCTCCATTTGAACTTCATGGTCACATCAACTTCTTGAGCCAATTTAACATTCACTTTACCTGTTATGAAATAATTTAAATGTTAGCATAAGAAACTGTTATATTGTAATCAAAATGTAAAGGATAACACATACCTTCTTTTTTAGATTTTTTTTACTTTGGTTTTTTATTTGACTTTGGTTGTGGATTTGATGATTTCCCAATTGGTTTTTGAGAGCATTTGGTTTTACGATGCCCTGTTTCCCTACATATGTTGCATCTCATGATCATACCCCTTTTTGAGATTGTATGCTTATTGCCCTTTAGTTCCCTCTCAATTTGATCCATTTTCCTTTTTGTTGATGGTCTTCCTGGCATCCTTCTCGTTTTAGGAGGCAATGGCTTGATGTAATCAAAATCAGGCCATATATCACTGCCATTGAGTGGCTTAATGGTGTACATATATGCATTCCAAAACGTTGTTGTGGTCAACCATGGTGATACATAGTCCTCTGGATCCCTATTGAGGTTTGAAATGGCAGCATATGCATGCACACAAGGGTAACCAGTTAATTGCCAAGCTCTACCTGCACATGTCTTCTTACCATGGTCTACAGCATATGCATCATATCCAAGCCTCGCTTCAAATTCTTGAAAACCAAATGGTACAACTCTCCAAAATCTGTCCACACACACACACAACCCTGTTGAAGGTAGCCCCTAACTCTCGCTGCTGAACATAGAGCTGGTCCTCGTTGTAGCCTCTCGCCCTGGACCACCAGCTCTCCCCTACTTGGGGTCTTGATCCGCACCAACTGTTGTGCGCAGTCAATCACTGCCCCGTTGGGGATTAGCTAATCCATACCAATAATAACCTTGTTCCCCCGCAATGGTACGGGAACCAGATCTACATGTAACGCTCCTCGAACAGCCTCAAAACATAATCTCGGTAGACCTCTGATGTTCGCACTAACCGGTCGTCCGCAATCTCGACCTCCAAAGGGAAATCCAGCATGCTTGAAGACTCAGGAAACTTCTTGCTAAGCGCAAGAGAGACAAACGATCGGGTAGCACCCGAATCAAACAATACATGAACTAGGATACCGTTCACATGGAACGATCCTAAACAAAACACACACATAACATATCAAAATTACAGCAACATAACATAAAAAGCATAAGGAAGAATTCATACTTGTCACCACATCGGGTGCAGCGCGGGCCTCGTCGGCTCTCAACTGAAATGCTCGGCTCCACACCACTGGAGCCTCAACCTTGGCCTTCTGGACATTCGTCACCCGTGCCGACGCTGGGGTCGGCGCATCCGCTAGCGTTGTTGTTGTCGCTACTGTTAATCTAGGGCAGTTGGCCTTTTTATGGCCCCTCTGATTACAATGAAAGCAAATCAGGTCTGATATCTGAACCGTGGGAGCACAGGCAGTACAATCCATGCCAAAATTTCCCATCTGGCCGCACTTATAGCAGCCGAAACCCAACCCAGTGCGGCAAACTCCCTCGTGTGACCGACCGCACTATCTACAGCGGTCCCGCCCCTGCTGACCCTTCGACCTCGCATCAAATCCCTTGGGTTTCTTCCCCGAAACCCCCTACAACCTGTGCAGTCTCTGACTTCCTCTTCCTGAGGTGCTCTAAATCAATCTCTCCTCTCCTGCGCTCTGGCAATCATGGACTCTAGGGTCAGGTAGGCCGAATAGTTGGCATTCTCCCGAATGTCGGCTCTCAACATATCATGATAGCAGGTCTTCTACATCTCCTTATCCCCCGCATACTGGGGGTACCAATAAAGCCCTCTCCCAGAACTTAGTGGTGATTTCCGCCACGGTCTCCGTAGTCTGTCTCATAACCAAAAACTCTTTGGCCAGCTGTTGAAGCTCCACAGCTGGCGCAAACTCAGCCCAGAACCGGGTCATGAAATCTGACCAAGTCATAGCCTCGACGGTTGGGGCTCCCAACGAATCACCAACTAACTCCACCAATCTCTGGCTCGATCCCTCAAACATCCTGCAGCAAAACGGACTTTTGACCCTTCCGGAAAGAAGCTCATCAACTACGCAGACTCAATGTCTGCGATCCATATCCTGGCAGCAATGGGGTCCTTCACCCCATGAAAATCCAGCGCACCACTCCCTCGGAAGTCCTTGAAGGATATTGTACGCATACCCGTCTGGCTAGATGCCAGATCACTCCTGAATGCCCGGAGGCGATCCTCCATCAGCTCAACGATCCCCTCCTTGATCGACCCAAAAATGACCAAGGTCGCATCAAGGATACCTCTCGTGATCTCACGCGATGAACTCGCGTAGCCCGTCATCAACTTGCCCGGATCCTGCACCCGAGCCTGACCCTGATCCTTATCCTAAGCCTGATCCTCCTGCTCCATTTCGTGTGATCGCCATACTGAAAATAAACACATAAACGTCAGGATCATACATACCCTCGAGAGGTCTCGCGCACTCTCCAAGTTTCCTAGCTCCATCTCGGCCCTACTTGACTCGAGTACGGATCCTCTGCTTCCAGTAATACGGGCCCATAATACCTTCCACATCTATCCGTACTCCCCTCAAGGGTTGCTTCGACTTCACCAAGTCCCTCTATCGATACCATTTCCTACTAATCCCATCCTAGGCTTTCCTAGGGCACTCTCTAACCTACTCTTCGTCATCAGTTGCACTATGAGTCCCTACTTCTCTTCCCTAACTAGCTTGCGAATACGGTTACATATCCACTCACTAGTTAGTTAAAGTTAGCAAGGACCCCTTAAGCACAAAGCAAGCAACATTCGTGCATCGAGTAACCACATCAGACATAACTTAATTAGGCTATCCTACCGCTGACTAAACAGTCCTAGCATACAGCTCATAAAACAGGCATTCAAGGCATCCACTAGATCCTTAGCCCTACTCTAGCATGCAGTTCTCGAAATCATGAATCATACACATAACATAACAAGTATGGGTATCTTGGGGAAACTTACTTGAGCTCGTCCGGTCACACGCATCACACACCTTGTCCTTTCTCAAAATTCATTAACTCAAAATTTTAGAACTATTTTACTTGAAAAATCTTTTAGTCCCTCGATTTGAGTCCAGACGCCCCTGAGGGTGTGTCCGAATCCCTCAAACCATGGCTTTGATACCAACTTGTAACGTCCCAAAAATCAAGGCCAAAATTTTCATTTTTAATTAAGTAGTTTATAAAATAACTTATCAAGAAATTGCTAAAATTATGTCAATACATAAAACCATAGTGTCATGTCTCAAAACCATAACATCAAAAGTAATGAAAAATCAGAGTTTAATCCCAGAAACCCAAAGTGGAAACCATGTGTGTGTGTGATGCGCTGCTAAACCGCCAGCTCTTTCCCCTTCGACGAAGAGGTACCTGAAACCAAAACCAAAAACTGTAAGCACAAAGCTTAGTGAGTTCCCCCATCATACTGCATACCATATAATATTGTCGGTAACTTTCAATAGGTAATTGCCATTGGTATCTTTCAATCGGTAACTATCATCGGTATCTTTCAACCGGTAACCGCCATCGGTATCTTCCAACCGGTAACTGCCATCGATATCTTTCAACCGGTAACTACCATCAGTAGCTTTCAACTGGTAACTGGGGACTATTTGTTGGGTTTTGAGCAATCTAACACTTCCTAAGTGTGCATGCAACCCTAATAAACCTTGGATCTATGTTTGTCTAAATACATGCAAAATAATAATTTTCCAAGGTTCATAACCTATCTAACACGGCATGGGGTACTTTTAAACATAAAAGAGTTAGAAGAGATTACATACCTTTTTGATGAGTTTGATTCTTAAGGAGTTTGAGGGCCAAGTACCAATAGTGTGAATGCCTCAAATGGAATCACAAATCACCACAAACTCTTGGAAAACTTTGAGAGAGTGTATACACACTACAATTTTTGGCCACACACAAACACACACACTAGTCACACTAGTTTCACTAGTGGCTATTTCATGCAAAATAAGCATGCTTATATAGTGTACATGATTAGGGTGAAACCCTAATAACCCATGACCTTTCCTTTTCCAAGGATCCATGGGTTAAAAGCTCCATGGACTTCCATACAAGCCTAGCCCATTAACAAATGAGTGTTAGCCCACACCATATAAAACCAATAGCCCACAATCTAATTAGTCTTCCTTTTAATCTCTAAATTAATTCATAATTAATTTAAGACTAAGACTAATTAAATAACATGACTTCATATTAATATATTATAACTTATAATATATTAATAATCATATGTGTATAACTCTCATAAAATTATCCATAAATAGTTTGGATGAAATGCAACCCAAATGGACCATGTCGGGTCGGGTCAAGTATATACCAAATAAGTTATGGACTTAGACACCTTATCCAACAGACTCCCACTTGGATAAGTCTAATAACTGTATTTGCGTATGTTACTTCAGGAACCAACCAGCAATCGTAGCTCTCGAAAACTCTGTTGAACTATGAAGCGCCATTTTAGATAAGTGATCATATAATCCTCTATTCTCATGATATCAGCCGGACAAATACATGGAACAACGTCGTACTTATTGTCCTAGCAGTTTGTTTCCCGATTTTCGATTTGTTTGACAAAGAACTTAATCGAACACATCAATTTAGTTATGACCGGCCGGTACATAGGTCACAACAAAATCATCGAGGGGCCCAGATATCGCTTTATTTCTAGAAGGAACAGATAAACTTCGACTCATATGCTTGTTCTCCTACTTGTTGAATTGTACACAAACACACGTTTTATAACATCAAGTTACTGATGATGTTTACGTGCAATCAATGCACAACCAACTCATAGGTAACAACTCATATCTCTAGGTTTGAGATTTATATGATATTACCGTCTCACGATCACTCGAGATAAATTCCATGAAGTGATACAAGTGAGCGTGGGTTTATTCCAATACTCATAACTTATGAGCACTCATGAATGTTGTAGCAACCATTGCTATGACTAAACCCATTTAGCCATCTA